TGCTGCTGAACGTTGAGCATTGACTATGACAAGTTATGACATCTGAACTAAGATGGAGGCATCCCTGATGGAGTCCCCAGCGATGCTTGCTGTGTCTGCCATGGGATTTAACCTCTGATTTACTACTGAAGGCAGAACCCAGAACACATGGTTCCACAGAAAAAGCTCAGCGAACAGGGAGCACAGAAAGATTTGTAGCTAATCACATCATTGGTCCATCTAATTTGGTAGCCGTTTCCATCCTCCTTGGCTAAGCTGCTGCTTGTAATAAACTGAGGGTATTCCCAGAGGTTGCGGTAGGGCAGTGACCACTGAATTATGGATCCTTTCTTAGCCCTTTTGCTCCTCCACACGAAGAGAAGGTTTAATTATATTTACTTTTATAGCGCTTCCTTTATCTGTAAGCCACCTGTTCCCAAGGCTGCCTCATTGAAACTGCCTTAATGGCAGCTGGAGATTGAGGCTGGGATCCTACAAGGAGACTGCAAGGGTTGAACATGTTTGTTATCACCTAGCCAGGCCAGATCTGCTTTGGCACTGAAAAATCAAGCAGGAGTTCTAGATGCCACCCCCCCCCCCAATTTACATCTCCCCTTTCCATGTTGCTGATGCTTATGGCTCAGCTCTGGCTTGTCGAAGCCAAGCAGAGAGCAAGAAGGAAGAGAGATTTCTCTCGCTTCAAATATTGCAAAAAGAAAAAAAAAGGCCGCGCCAGCTGGCCAGGAATGCCGTGTCAGCTCTGCATCCTCCAGAAATTGCTCAGCCACCCTGTGTTTTGGGCTAAGAATAAACCGCCAATAAAGGCTCCGACTTGATTCCTGCATCCGTGTTTTGGTGGCTCTTCCTTTAACGTGGCCCACAAAATGGGCGGCAAAGGGACTCTACCGCGTTGGATCTGCCTCTACAGGACAGTGTTACAAGGGCAGGTGGGCTTTCACTAGGGGACCCCACACGCCGGAAGGTGCAGAATGCAGGGCGAGAGCAGGATTTCTTTTACTCAGGAAGATTTCTGGCTCTTGGGACAATAATGAGGTTTTCCACACAACAGAAGCCCCAGATCTTTTACTCTTCTGGCTGCTTTCTAGATGGAGCGGAGCTGTAGCTCAGTGGGAAAACGTGCACATCCTTCTCCCTGACTCCAGGAAGAGCTGGGAAAGGAGGCTGCTGAAAGTCCCGAAAAGCCTGTGCTGGACCTGTGGGCTGAGGGGATTAAATTGTGGATAACTTCTCCCATGCCTCCCTGAGCTAGCAAAGCCACTGGATTCCTGTCCCTGCTTCTGATCGAGCATAATGCACAAATGGCCTGCTGTGTCTCCTGTTTCATGTTACAGAAAATAAAGCCCAACGCTAATGGAGCTCGGGACACTTTTTAAACAGCAAATCTGACTCCAGTGATATTTTACATCCACGACTTCTGAACTTCCATGCTGATTTTTTTCTCCTTGGCGGCCCGATGAGGCCTTGTCCTAGATGGGTGCGTGCCGGGCGCTCAGCAGATGCTCTGCCGGTTGTGGCGTCTGGCAGCTGCTTCAGACGTTCAGGGAAACTGCCTTGAAAAGGCTCAGCTGAGCTTTCTTGTGAAAGTGCAGGTGGGAAACTAGTGTGGGTCTGCAGGTGCTCCAAAAGTGACATTGTTCGAGGAGAAGGGGGAGGGATGGAAGGGAAGAAGAGGCTATCCATGCCCAAACCTGGTTTGTGATATGAATCTTGGCTCGTTCTGAGTTAGTTGACATGCAGTGCCATGTTCCATAGGCAGAACTGGCAGCAAGATGTGCTTAGGATTCAGGCTGGAGTTTTTTGCAGCTCTGCCTGGAGAGATTGGGGTCTCACCTGCAAGCGTCTGCTCGCTAAGCACTGCTGCAAGGGCATCGGTTGGGAACAGTGATGGATCAGGTCCTCCTCATGGGGTATCCACCCATGTGTTTGGCTCACTAGCTGTATAAACTCAGGACATGCAGGATGTGGGATTAAAAAGAAAGAGAAGCTGGCCTCTTTTCTGACTCCTGCATGGCAAAGCTGATGGCGCAGTCCCCAGAGTGTCCTGGATCTCCTTCCAGAGGAGCAAGGCCACACGCTCCCAAATTGGCACAAATTGACCTGTTGCGTGTGGCTATGGAGTGTAGGTGAGACAAAAAAGACTGGGTCTTGTGCAAGCCTTTGTGTGTGTGTGTGTGTGTGTGTGTGTCATTCCCAGCAAGAGCAAGAAATGGCTCTTGTCACAAGTCCATGGTGAAGAATGTGCAGGGGCAGGCCATGGGGTCCACACATACTTCTGTCTCCCCCCCTTTTTTTGGCAGAGAGTGGATAGGGGCCCCTTCTGGGCACACAGCTCAGCTCCCGTGGCCGAGAACTTGCTGTGTGTTGTTCAGCGGCCAAAAAGTTCCAGCCGGACCTCATCTGGAGCCTCTTCCAGTGACCGCATCACTCCCCCGTCCCATCACTGCTGTGGCAGGATGCTTGCCTGCATCCACCCCCTGCCTGCTCCCTAACCTTTCCCCTCTCGTTGTAAGAGAAACGTGAGGCCCTCGGAGGAGAAATGTGTTCCACCAGGCATTGCAAAAATGAGCAAAAGATTCAGAAAGTTGGGCAATTGGTCTGTTGGGCTCCTTGTTGGCTCCCCTGATTGAGAGGGCAGGGTATTTCCCAACTCCAGAGTTCCCAGGAGTTGTTGCAAGAACATCTTTTCTTAGGATGATGTTGCAGAGGTAGGAACTCCAGTTCCCACTGGTCATGCTGGCAAGATAGGCTTTGGGGCCAGAATGTTTTCGTGATAGGCCCTGAATGTTCAGTGCGGGAAGAGGTTTTCCCATCCTTATCTGTTCTGTACCAGTATCCAGGCTCTAGATTGGTAGCGTGTGGCCTCTGGCATCTTTATTTGCTGTAGGGGTAAGCACCAATCATCTTCAAGTGGATGAGAGGTCTGTGGCTCTTTGTGAACGTTTGTTGTTGAGAATAAAAAGCGCAGAGAAATGGATCTCTGCAGAGATGCTTCAAGCAGCAAGGACCCTCAAAACTGCAGACCCCAATGAGGACAAATGCACTTGGGTATAAGGACCCAAAGCTCTTGGGAACCGGTGCGGGATTGCCCAGGTCCAGGTCGTCATGAGCGCAAGGCCTCCTAAACTACTGCAAGAGGAGGCGACAGCCCAAACCAGCAGAAAAGGGGCTTGCAAGGAGGAGAACTCAGAGGATCCTGTTCTTTCCAATGTTGGTTTCTGAAGACAATGTTGAAAGAGGAGAGTGCAAGGGAGGATCTCTCTGAGAGAGTGGGAGATGTTGACAGAAACAAAGGCTGACAGAGGGAGTTTACGTGGGGAATCTGTTCCTCTAGAAGTTGCAGTCATGCCTCAGCTGGCAGAAAGGATAGGAACCACCATCAACAATGCCAAGGAGCCTGCAGGTTCTCCACCCTTATCTGTGTGGGAGCCAGGAAGGGGCAAAACCATCCCAGGAAATTCTAAACTCAGGGCCTGGGAAGAAATATTTTGTCTTGCTGCTGCATTGCCAAAGGAGTTGCTGTGACCAACCACTTAGAAAGGGGGAAAATGGCTTTATTAGTTGCACGCTCTCATGCCCTCTTCCTTCGTTTGCATCCATGTGAGAATGGATATGGAGACTACATTACCTTCCTCTTTATGACATTAATTGTGGGGTGTGTGCAGTGCAGCCAAGGGACAGGAGCTTCAGGGGAGAGAAATGAAAGTCTGCCTCTTATAATGCCCTCAAACAACAAAACGCTGAGCCACACGGCCTTCAGAGCAGCGCTGACCCATGTATGAAAGAGGAGATCTCGTAGAACTTCAGAATTGGATGAGCCATTGAAGCCGCTGAGAACGTTGCATTCGGCATCAAAATTAAAAGTCCCATGCGTAGGGAAGCCATCACCTTGTGGGAGCAACTGCTTCACTCTCTCCTCCGTACACGGAGGCAATAAGTATATGCCAGAGTATGTATAGGAGGCACAGGGCTAGTTGTAACGGGATCTCTGCTGGGTGGGGTGGTCAGTGGTAACATGGCCACTCCCGTTTTTAAAAGCTGCAGTGCAGTTGTGCTCCAGTCCCCATCATCCCCAGCCAGCACAGCCATTGGACTGGAGGACATCAGGCAGAGGGAAGGTTGCTTCGCTGACCATCTGCCTGTGGCTGATCTCTAGCAAGAAGGCAGGGGGCAGTGGGGAACCGTCTGAACTTGGGAATTCAGCTTCTCTCTTGTTTGCTCTGTTACCAAAACAACAATGGCTTGCAGCACTGAAAAATGGCAACCGTATGCAATAAATGCTCCCCACAGTGGAAAACCCAAAGCAGTAGTTGATTTATACCACTGGAAGTACGCCTGCCAAATAAAATGCAGATAGGCTATTGCTGTATCGAGCTTATGAGTCAGGGCAGTGAGAGGAACTGTGTGTTTATAAAGCTGTTAGAACTCCCACATTGGATGCGTTCACACCCTATTGGAGAAAAAGCACTCTGCATACGATAAAAGGCACTTGGACACATCAGCCATCATTGCTGACAAAATCTGGGAACAGTGTTCGTTGGGGGTACCCAGGAGCATGTGCTTCACATCAGATTGCAGTTGACTTTAGCACTGAAATCTACAAGTGTGAAGAATTTGAGGGTAGGTAAACTGGAAGGACCCCTTCACCAAATTTAACCAGGAAGAGAAGAAATTTTTCTACTGGTTTCTCTAAAGTGAGCTTTACCATTCTTGGGAGCTAAGCAAGACAGCTTCTTTCTCTCTCTGCCCATCACAATTATTTTGTGCTGTTGTTTCAGATAAGACCAGCTCCTGCAGCAGAGAATAATAGACTTCAAAACTTTTGGATACTACAAATGAGGACCTCATGTAGTGACTGCCTCATTTAGCAACCATTTACAGTTGCAAGGGTGATGAAAAAGTAACTCTGCGATCAGTCCTCGCATTTACAACCTTCTCAGGTCTGTAAAGCAAAGGAACGCTGAAGAAAGATCATAAGCACAGTTGCGGGTTCACTTAGCAACCGCTTTGCTTAATGACCGAGTTGCTTGTCCCGTTGTGGTCGCTAAATGAGGACTACCTGTACTACCAAAGAAGATGCTGGGATTCTACATCCAGAATTACTCGATTAAATCCCTTGTTGTTAGAAACAGTTTCTGGGAAATAAGACGAAGCCAGGTCTGCACCTCTAGAGATTTTGTGATGTAGTTACGTTGCCCCCATTCTGCATAGAAATTCAGAGAGAATAGCCCTATAAGACCTGTTTGTGGTGTGCTGAGGGCTCTGGAAAAGTGACTGAGTTGTCATCTGGGTCATCCTCTCTGCTTCCCATTTTCTAAACTTGTGATGTGTCACGTGCAAATGAGTTTAAATCATTCTTTTTCACAGCCCCTTCTTTCGGTAGTCAGTGCTTGCTCCAAACAGCGAGAAGGGGCATTTTGGTGCCCAATGCACCCTCCCCTGCTTTTTGGAAGCCTACAGATGAAGTCCGCCTCTTCCCCAGCTGAATGTCTGCCATCCTGAAGAGAAAACAGGTTCTGATTTGGACAATAAGGAACAAAGATTCTATGTGGTAACAATGATCTTCCCCTCTCCCCCAAATTACAATCATTATTGGAACTTTAAATATTTTTCTTCTTTCTTTTTTTTAAAAAAAGATCTGTTCCCTCTTTGCGACAATTTTCTGTTGGGGATCCCAAGACCCCGTCCCACGAGGTCTCTTGGCTCGCTTTCCCCATGTCACCGACATGTGTGCATTTCCACCACCCGGTGGCACTGTTTACACTTGACAAAGCAGCACCAGTGGAACTTGCAGCTGCACCTCTCCACCACCTCCACCTCGTCCGTGTGGAAGCCGCGACCGCAGCACATCAGCTCACAGCCGTCAATGGCCTTGGAGGTCTTGTTGCAGTGCCTCCCGTTGGTGCCAAGGACGCCGTTCTTTAAGTCATGGTCACAGAAATCGGGGCTGGAGTCCAGGTACACCAGATCCTCGTCTGTGTGTGGCTTGAACTGGGAATTCTTGGGGACCAGCACCTTGGTGGAGCCAATCTTCCGCTGCTCGACCTCTGTGGCTCCATCAAACTTCTCCTTCAGCACATTGCCCACTTTGCGGAAAGGAGGCATGGCTTTCCAGCAAGTCTTGACCTCGCAGGAGCCTGACACTCCATGGCACTTGCACTCCACCCGCATGTGGTTCAGAATGGCCTGGAAAAATCAAGGTGGACGTTTGAGGTTCTCCTCAGACTGAGGGATAACCTACATTAACACCCCCTTTCCTAGCAGTTCCTCATCATAGATAAGGACACTGGGCTCTGACATTTAGCAATGTCTGAGGATCATATCTTCCAAATTCTTGTGGTAGAGAAAAGGGCTGGGCCTCACTATGCATGAACTGGTTTCAGGGTCCCCTACCTCCATGGTCCTGTGAGAGTTTACTGTACAGGGGCCATTGCGAGCAATCAAAATGCCAGCGTGTTACTCTGTGGTCTACTTGCCCAGGCTCTTGGTTGGATGGTTACTTTGTCCAGCGTCCTCTTGGTCCTAGGCTCAGCCTCTTTTCCGTTTAAAGCAACTTGTTCCTTTGTGAGTCTTACCCAATCTGAGGTTCAACTCTCAGAATTTTCAGCCTGACCTGCAACAGATTGCCCCCAAATGCTCCCAGTCTACCATCTTTTCAGTATTTGGACAGGCCTTTCCCAACTTGGATCATGATACAGAGGGATTACGGTAGCTGGAGGTCAAGATGTCTAGAAAATAGCTGATGGAGACATAGATGGTGCTGTTACCTTTCTTCCAGCTTCGTTATTATGGAGGTTCATGAGGGCTCGGCTAGACGAGGCCCCTTTGCTTCTCTCTCTCACGTCAACGAATGACTGTGAGAAAGCTACCCCATAAGCGATGTTGTCAGAACAGCCGGACCATTGGAAGCCTAGAGGCAAAAAAAGAAAAGATCACTTGCATGGAGCTCCACCATGGTCCTCCATTGTCAGGAGCAGGGATGACTCCAGGATTAAGGGTCATCTGGTGATCGCCCTTCCTGTAAAATCGGGCTGGAACCCCCAGGATTTATGGGGTGGGTTGCGTGCTTCTAATCTACTTACACCTCCCAGGGACCCCCATCATTTTTCTCTTGGCTGTTAGACCTTTGTGGGGGGGAAACATGGCAGATGAGATGATGCATTACATTTGTGATGTCTTGGGACACTCTCTCCAGTTCTTGCCAGATGTTCCGTGTGTTTCCTTGATGCTACAAGGATCTCTAGGTCTCCAGAAAGCCCCAGAAATAGAACTGCTTCCTTGGGAATGTGGGAGAAGCCAAAACATGCCAGCCCTCTGTTCTGGCAGCAGCAGTGATGGTTGGGGGTTTTATTGATGGTTTGGGGAGGTTTTTAGTGCACGCAAAGGTGGTGGGTTTGCCCTGCTCAGAGGTCTTCTAGTAAGGGCTGATTTGCCATTTGCTGGGGATTTGTGAGTTTTGCCAGTTTTTCAGAGGGTTAAGATTTTACTCTCACACCATACTCTAAATGCCAACCCTGGTTAGCAAAACTCAGTTGCTGTCCTCACGGAGCATAAAGTGCCCAAACCAACCATATTACAGCATAAGGAGATGGCTGGGTTCCCACAACATGCAATGACAAAGGCTGGGTTCCCACAACATGCTAAATCACACGCTGCCCAACCCCACGTTAGCCTAGTCTGGGGTGCTGCTCATTCTACACCCAGGATACAAGCTTCTTGAACTGGCACGTTTAAGAAGGTGAACTTTGATGATGCAAAGGAGCAGAAGAACCAAAGGGGCAGGGGGGACAGAGAGCACTGGGTCTGATCTTCTGCACAGAGCAGCGTTATCAGTTGGTGTGACTGAGTAATGGGCCTCATAAGTAGCAGCTCTCTTGTGTATTCCAAACTCACATGTTAGCTTGGGCTATGGTTTTGATGTGGCAAAGCACCGATGTCTCCACATTAGACCCAGTACGTTCCAAGAAGAGAAAGAGGCGTAACCAAGAAAGGACAGCAAACGAAAATGCCGCCATCTGCTGTCATCTTCTCTCATCAGATGGTCCCTCTCAGAAAAGTATATCTTGGTATTTCTCATTGCTCACGTTGGGCAAAATGGCTTCCAAGATTTCTCAGATGAGATCCCACCATCTAAGCCCGGCAGCAGGCCAGTTTCTCCACGGGGAGATGCTTACCCTGAGGGCTGACGCCATGGACCGTGTGATCGCAGCCACATTTCTCCAGTTCTCCACTGCTGCAAGCCCTTGTCACGGCAAAGGCAACGCCGGCAGAGGAGATCGCATACACGAAGGCAGCTTCTCGCGTGCCTGGCAGAAACGAAGAAGAGACAAGCGATCGCTTAATGCTCGTGGGTTTGTGAATGTGCATGCTAGATTGGAAAATTTGTTTTTCTAAAGAAAAACAATTATTCTGTTATCTTGATCCATCCCCGTTTGATTTGCTGCAGAGAAACTTCAGGAACATTTTAATCTACTTCATGACAGGCACTATTTAAAAAAAAAAGGGATAAATTTTGTCCGTTTCCTGCTGAATTGCTGTTGAGGGCACCAGAACCTATGACCATGCTAAAAGACTCTTGTCGTATTACACTTTGACTTATTTGTTCAAAATATTTTTTCACTCTTGGTCCAAAAAAAGATTGCTAGATGTGGTCGATCGTTTGAAGATCAGCATGAATGGGAGCAGTTTGGGAGCAGGTTTAGTCAAACAGAGACATGTCTTTTAGATCAGCTAGTGGAGAGGGTCCTGCCAACCCAACGTTCCCTCTGCTGTAATTCTGTGGATGCAGCTAGGAGAGAGTAAGAAGAGCAAGCAAACAGAACTGGATAGCCAGCTGGGCCTATCCTCCTATTTCTCACTGGGATATGTGCATTTGCAGCCCTGCCCCCCCCCCAGCTCTTAAGATATATGGCGTCCTCACAAACAAGTTCTCCAGATGTTCTCCACCTTTTGTTGGACAAACACCATGCCTGTCTCCTTCCATCCTTGCAATGACAGCAGTGCTGGTGAATTGTGGAAGGTACAAACATCACGACCACACTTGTCAAGGTTGTTTTTGCCCCGGTAGCAGAAAGTTGCTCATCCCCCTGTCTTTAGTGAGACCCACTCCTCAAATCTCTTGGGGAATTCCTCTTGCCCTTGGAGAAATGGACCACAGTGATTCATCCCTAAAAAGAGGAAATGACTGAGAAAGTCCACCTGCACTCAGTTCTTGGGTTCAGGAGATGTCCTTTTGGACTCTTCCTCCTTACCTTTCAGCCTGCCCTTCTCGGCCCCAGCGGCAGCGCCAACCTGCAAGTTTCGGGGCTGAGTCTAAAACTGAACCTGGACTGCAGGCTTTTCAAACTCCTCAGCAGCAAGTGGAATTAAACCCATCACAGCTATTTGAAGCCTTTCAACAGCATCTAAGCACTTTTCCACTGCCTGCTCCGAGTCAGGAGCCGTTTGCATAAGGGCCGTGTTTTCCCAGAATAATAATAATTTTTTTTTTTTTTTAAATCTGCATGTGTCCCCGCTTGGTCTCTCTCATAACTTTCCCTCCACCGGCCTGCGAAGGGGGCAGCTCTGATTTCTCCACTCCTCTGGAGAAGCAGAGGTGCCGCTAGAGAGGTGGCAGTGTGTGCCTCCCCTCCTGATGTGAGCGGGTGGGTGGAGCAGGGCTATGCAAACCAAAGAGGAATATTGGTTTAGCGGTTCTCAATTAAATCTTGCAACATCCAGTTCCTGCCAATGGTGGTTAGAGCGTAACAGAGGCTTCTGTCTCGAAGGATGTTGCTGCCCTTTGCTTTACTCCCTCATCCCCCCCCCAATCCAGCTGGGAAGAGGACAGAGATGCCCTCGGTCGGATTCGACAGAGGAGAGATTAAAAAAAGCAAAAGCCTTCAAGTCAGGGCATTTTTGGCACCGGGACCTCGCTCCCAGCTGGGAAGCAACTGCACGACCTTTGAATTAATTGTGGTTAATGACAGGCTAACGCTAGCTGGTCTCGCTCTGCGGCCGCCCGAAAGAGAGGCAGCTTCATTCCCTGGTATTTTTGGTATTTCCAGGGCACAAATCTTCAGCACCCCCCCTCCCCTCCCTAAAGACAAGCAAGGGAAAGTTAAATAAGACACCGAGGGGGCTGGAAAGGATGAGGTTTGGGATGTTTGAGGGGAAGATGGAGGCAAGATGCAGATCCCGCAATCAACAACTGGAGAAGAAGCAAACATTGGGGATAAGCATTCTACTCAGCCCCAGCCCTTTTCCTGTTTTTTTTTTTTTCTGTCCTGCTGCTAATTCCTAGAAAACCTATCCGTGACAGTAAGGTGCAGTGGCGAAGAGGCTCCCTTAGGAAAAGCATTTGATCGTGAAACCCCCAAGAGGTCTCTGGGCCAACCATGGGGAAAAAAAGCGATCCATGTCTACATGGCACTCGTCAGCCACCGGCCAAAGTTCTTGTTCAGCCCGGGCTGTTGCTAGAAGCGGAGCAGTGCAGGAGGCAGAGGCCTGAAAGGTAGTCCTCCGCGTTGCAACATTTCATTGCAGGCTCCGGTGGCCGCTGACTGCTAAATGAAACCCATTCTGGAGGAGAAGAAAGTTGAGAGCTGTTTAGCGCAGTGTTTCCCGACCATGGCAACTTGAAGATGTGTGGACTTCAACTCCCAGAATTCGACCATGGCAACTTGAAGATGTGTGGACTTCAACTCCCAGAATTCGACCATGGCAACTTGAAGATGTGTGGACTTCAACTCCCAGAATTCGACCATGGCAACTTGAAGATGTGTGGACTTCAACTCCCAGAATTCGACCATGGCAACTTGAAGATGTGTGGACTTCAACTCCCAGAATTCGTTGAAGTCCACACATCTTCAAGTTGCCAAGGTTGAGAAACACTGGACTTGGGCTGCCATGGTGTTAGACACCTACATCTGTTTGGTAGGAAGCTTCTTATTGGGTGGGTTAAAAATGCCCTGCTCTGCCCTGTTCTCTCCCCACCATCCTCCTGCCTCTCTCCCAGGTGGTGGACCAAGGTACCTTGCGTGACCACCTTGCCGAAAACCGGCAGGCTCTCGAGAGTGGAGCAGTTCCATCGGCGGTTGCGGAACTGGAACTGGCACTCCTCGATCGCCAGCTGCGCCCCTCGGCGCACCGAGTCCATGACTTCCAGGTTCCTCTTGCACATCTGCACTTGGCGCTGGATCAGGCCCTTCAGCTTCTCACAGGTCTCCTCCTCCGAGATGCTGCCTGCCGAAGAGATCTTTGCCAAGTACCTGTGAGGAACACAGCAAAGCCCCCACCGCCCGGGCCCCCACGTTAAAGAGGAGGTAATTGGGAGTCCCAGCAGGAAAGCCCACCCATTCAGAGGCAGTGAAATCCAACTTTGCATTGAAGCACTAGCAGGATCCCTGTCCCCATCCCCAGGTGAGTGAGAAAGAGGAGAGCCAAATACGGGTTCCGTGCAAATTCTTTGCAGGCCCAGATTCTTGTACGTTGGTTCAACCCAGCTTGTGCGTGCGTATGTGTGTATATATATAAAATGAATAACATTAACTACATCCACGTGTATAATAACGGTCCAATTTGTGATGATCCAAGGGAGGAGAGTATAACAGTTACTTCTGCCGTGGTCCAAAAGGAAAAAAAAGATTTGTTTTTAAAAAGGTTTTGCATGTGTAAGGTTGCTGTTTGGATTTTCTTCCATTATGAACAGTTGTGGGCGCCTTCAGAATGTTTCTCAGGTGGCCGCCCATCCAGAACTGACCACCTCCCTCTGACCTGGTACTCTCTGCCTTTATAAACCCAAATTTGTAATTTGTGAACCCAAATTACAGCCAACCACCACATGGTAAATGCAAAGAGGCGTCGAATGCCGGGTCTGCCTTGGAGCTACTTAATGAACTGAGTTCATTATGACATAGCAGAAGCACAGTTAAAATGCATTGCAATGCCCACCTCCCCAAAACATCCCCCCCATCCAAAGCTAATGGCCACCCCAGCTTCCCTTGGTCCTTCCTGACACGCAGAACAAAGAAAGCTTTATCGGTTTGTCTCCCTGTGGCAGAGTAGTAATCCGAAAAGATTTTGTCAAATACTCCCTCAAGTTCGAGACAGGTGAATCATTAAAACATGCACGCGCACGTAACAGCTCTTCTAATAAAAGAGGGGGGCAATTCTCTGGCTTTTTAAAAAGCTGCAGGCCGCTATGATATTTTCATTGTTCCGCCTCCCTGGACCTCTGAGACTTCGCACTCTCCCTCCCTCATTTTATCCTCCCCAACAACCTTGTGAAGTAGGTGGGACCGGCGAGATGCAGTCAGCCCACCGTGACCAGTGAGCCTTCTGGCTCGTGCAGTCTGCTCTCTGGCACCACGTGCGCGATCCAAAACAGAAAACTCCCACCCCGTAATAGCTTGGGTGATTTGTGGGTGCAGCCAACTGATGGAGGCAGTCGGCCGATTGGCCGGGCACCTCTAGGTAGTTCATACCCTTTCTGTAAGTAACTGAATTTTGGGCTATCCCACTGTTCGTGACGATTTGAGGAGGTTCCCTTCCTCAGTCAGTTGTGTTTTAGAAAGATGGAAGATGTCTGGCTCTGACCCTGGGAACAACATTGTCCAGGAATGGCCTTCCAGGATATTAGGCAGAAGGTTTCTCAGCTCATGGGAGACCCTGGGAATCACATTTGGGGTCTCCTGCATGCAAGGCAAGGTCAATATCAGGGACCTGCGATCTGGTTAGAGCCTGCTTTGCAAAGAGAGCCTACCAGTGCCCTGTCACCCCCCTCCAAGCTTTCAGCCACTGCCATGCTCTTTCAGAAAATGCCAAGCACTTTTCTCTGATGCCCACCAGGCAGCAGAAAACTCACTGGGATGAAGCCCTGACTACAAGCAAAAGCTAACCTGGAGATACGCGGTTGCTTGTTCACATAATGCTTCCATAAACCATGGTTCTTCCCGCCGACCAGTCCAAGCAACTCTGTTTCAGGGTGTCGTTCACCCACTCAGGGTATCCCCCCTCCCCAAAGTCCTGTCCCAGGGCCTGTTGCTTTTCCAGCTCAACAGCTGTCCTTTGTCTCCCCAAAATGGAGATGGAGAGGGCTTGCCCTGTCAGGTCTGAGGAGTCTCACTGTATCCAAGGGCCATTAGGAGAAGCCAAAGCGGTCGAGAGCCAGCCAAAATCAGCAGAACAAGGACACTGCCTGCCAGAAACCTCCCTCAGCCTGGGCAGCGTTCTGATCACCAGAGGCTCCCTCAAAACCACTTCCCTCCTGAAGTCCAGGCTGAGCTTTTCCTGGCTGCTGCTTCTACATGGGGTCAGGACTTGCAGCCACTGGAAACTGCAGCTGCAAGGAGAGACTCAAACCTTGCTGGGGACCAGCACATCCTCTACCTCCCCAGGATCTCGGCAAACTCAAGGTTCCTGCCTCACCTCCACCCTCTCAAAGAGAAGCGCGGGAGAAAGAACTCAGCAAGGAGCCCCTTGTTTTGTGGTTGCAAGAAACCCTGAGGATGGGCCAGAAATCTTTTGTCAAAGGATAAAGAGGGCACAGACCGTTGCAAGGGTCAGAATGATTAACTGGGAAGGATCTCCACCAGCCTCTCGTTCCTCTGCTTCCCTTGCTTGTTTTAATTTTAAAAAGCCGCTCAGAAGAACACGTGATCGGCTTCTCAGGTTCCCAAAGCAGATACCGAAAGGCAGTCCATTAGGTCCTCCCTTGCACTACTCAGAATTCAAAGCTCCAACTTGGGGCGAGGAAGAAACCCATTATCAGATTGCTATCACCTCCCAGCTGCGGGATGTCCAGCTCGCGGCGGCAAACGATACCGACACGAACAAGATGTAGCTTGATCCACCGGAGCTAAAGAGACGTTTCAGTGTGTCCTACTGAAAGGCTGAAGCGAGCCCTGGTCAGAGTAGAAAAGCAGGAGGGAAGTAAAGAAATAGATTAATTTTATGAAAACATTGGGCCATCTTTGGATGAACCTGTGAAGCTGTCATCCAAACGGGTCCATCTGGCCTGATTCCAAAAGCAGGTTCCTCCTCCTCTTGGCTGTAGATGCCCGGAGTCCAACAAGGAACGTTCGGCATCCAAAGGACATGTTCTACCAAATGAACTATAGGCTCTCTGAATTAAGTACTGTTGAGTTGTCAGGCCTTTTAGAGTGGGAAGTGGTTTTCTGAAGTGTCCCTAGGTCATCTCCAAGCAATCCTAAGACCGGCTGGCTCCCTGCGGCCCCTCTGCGAGGGATCCTAACCATCATCTTGCCCCCTTTGCACGGGCAAGCCAGATGGTCACCAGGGCAGGAGAAAGGACAGCCCACCTCTCCTTGGCGGAGCATGGGAGTTTGCCATTTGGCAGCAGAAGAAGGCAAGCGGTCAAAACCCCAGGATATTTCCCAGATTTTTCCAGGCGATGGGAGCATCTGAAATTCAAAGTGGAGGAGGAACCAGAGCTCCGCGGACCCTCTTTCAAACCTTTCCAACCAGATGCTGCAGATAAGAGCTTTCCCAAACAAATGCTTATTACTGTTCGGGGAGGATAAAAATGAAGATTAACATGTTATTTCAGCGATAAAGCCTGGTGTCAGCGATCGGAGCAGGAGGCTCGGGAAACGCCGTTCCCAGATGTCCCGTCTTGCAGTTCAGCAAAGTTCCATGGAAAAGAATGGCTGTCCCCGTTTTCAGGGCATCCTCTGCAGAATCACTTCTGGATAGGTGGGCCGAAACCGTGGTCTCGATGCGGTTTGCAGGGCACGTGGTGCAGTGATGTAAATCTAGCCATTTATATAAATTACTAGGGCGCCACCATCATATATCACTTTCTATTCCATTTACTTTCACTGTTTGTACACATGTTGGGGGTACCCGTTTTTGGCCAAATAAAAGTTTGGCCTCTGGGCTATTCTGGGTAAATAAAACGACAGCTTCCCAAAACCAGACAGCAAGAGAACTTCCCACTGATGGAAGAGGAAGGAAGCGCCAGTCATTCCTGACTCTTCCCCAAGCTAGCACCCCCCCAGCTGTATTTGACTACAGTTGCCATCATCCTTGGGTGTGTTTCAACACATCTGGAGAGTGCAAGGTTAGAAAGGCGGCTGATGGGAGTGCAAAGGGTTCCTTGCTAGTGCTCGCGCTATTCATTTCACGAGGAACATTTTGACCTCCCCTTGCTCGGTTCTGATTTTTTCATGTCTTACCAAATTAGATGTCTCCATCTAACAGAAGGAATAAACAACGCAGGCCCCAATAGGTTCTGGAGAGAATGGCGAAATAACAGGGTCAATAGGATTGCGGTGGTTGGTGAAAGAGTGAGAGCCAGCAACTTGCTTTTGAGAATGGTCAGCTAGACTTGGAAGACACACACTTCCTCTGTCTTCTCAGGGTTAGTGCTCCTGCACATGGGGACTTGATTTAGCTCCTGTGGCAGGGAGTTGTTAATGAAGCCCTCCCTTTACAAAAGAGTTTAATTCCTCTGTTCGCAAAGCTCCCGCCCAGAGAAAACCAAATTGTGCTTGGCTGTGCAGAGAAGAGAAATACAAGAGGCTGGCCCAGCTTGCAAATGCAGACGGTGGGGAAGCAGCGACTGATCTCCAAATTCCGTCGTCAGAAGGTCCCTTCCGACACGGATGAGCACAGAGGGAGCAAATGTTGCTCGAACATCCTGTGACATTTGGAGGATAAGTATGGTGCCTTGCAATGGCCAGGACTGACGCAAGCCACCGAGAAGCAAGGGGTGGGGGTCTGCATCACTTGGCCAATCGCCATGGCCGAGTTGTCCATGACAAAAAATAGACCTGCTTGATGAATTCGGAATCGCTGTTTCAATATAAAAAGGGGTTATCGATGCCCCCAGCGACCTTGGGAGAGGAGCAGCTGTTCTCTATCTCTGTAAAAAGAGCAGAGGGAGAGCCAAGGGGATAACTGTATATGATATGCTAATATTTATAATAGGGTTCCTGTTTTTCCCCCCTAATTGTAGCTTTGGAAACAAGTTGATCTGGCACAGAGAAGAGATAAACGAAAGGGAGTTCATAACCCCATTTCCCAGCCGTCACCATTTTATTCATTCACACGTGCACCATTTTACTCATTCACGCAAGTGCCTGTTCACAGATGCGGCCAACTCACCCCATGCCACCTTTCATACGACACCTTTACCCAGCTGAAAACAGCAGTGGCCAATTTTACTACCAGCTAAGCTCGATTTGCATGTTGCGCCACCCCAGCCCATTTGACTAAT